GCTTTCCCTTTATACCAGACTTGGTGTGGGGCCCAGGGACCTCGTCCACAAGGCCTTGGCAGGTTTGGTTGCTGCCTAAGCCTCTTTGATGGAGGCTCAACCTCCTCCGAAGCTCCACCTTGCCCGTCGACAACGCCAGAATCGTCACCTTCAGCGTCCGCCGGGCCTTCTCCTTGACCGAGAGCACCATCACGTTGGCCTCCTCCAGGGTGACGAGGTGGTTGCCCTTCGAGATCTTCAAGATCTGGTCGACGATGAGGAGGGTGACCTTCAGAATCTTTATGATCCAAATGAGGTGAGTTTTCCCCCTCGTTCTCTTCGTTCTCTTTGGCCGTTTTGTGAGATCCCCCTTCAGAAGATGGTCAAAGAGGGTCGATGCTAGCCAGTGATCCATGGCAGGAGGGTAAGCCGCCGCTGCCGTTGTGGCAAATGTATTGTCCGTGGCCTGGCGAATGAGGCGAGTGTGGCGCCGACCGCAGTTGCAGTTCTTGGGTAGGGGGCCCTGGTAGAGGTTGGCGCCGTCCAAGAGGGGAAGCCCTGCAGCAAGGTAGCGTTGCAGACCTGGCAAGTTATGCAGCAACCGAGTCGGTTTAGGTGATGTGGCACCAAGTTGGCATTGATAAAATGCACCAGTAAGGGCGTCACCAGCATGAACCCAAGAAACAATGGGAAGCAGCTGCCAGATTGAGGCAGGTCTAGTGTCTCCCCCCGCATCTCGTGGTTGCTCCCAAATCTTCCGGGTGTTCCAACAAGAAAGCCAAGCCCAGTTGGATAGCAAGGGAGATGACCTGAAGGCAAAACTCAACCATGGCATTGCTCTTGCTTACCTTGTCCAGCTTATGGCCTTCCAGCCATGGAAACCACAATGGATGGACTGATGAACGCAAAGGCTTGGGACCAAATTCGTTGGCCCAAGGTGCGCGACTCCAAGTCGCACAAGGTGGTGACATGATCACCGCTTGGTAACAGCTGTTCTTCAACTTCTGGATGAGGTCCTCTTGGAGGGTTTTGTCCAGAAGATCATGCGAAGTTGACCGCAGGATATCAAAGGAGTCCACCACCATCAAACAACGTTTCGGGGTGGTCGCGGCCAAACGCTGCAAAACTTCAGGGATGCCCGTGTCCCGTTGGGGACCAGCAAACAAATAAAGGACTCTGAATTCTTGGCATGCATCGGCTCCTTCTGCTCTGTCTCTGCCCCTAGTCAAGGGGGCTTCGGTGCATCAGGGTGCTCATAGCTGGGGTGATCCGGGGACAAGCAGATCCTGCAGCAATGAACTCGGCCGCATCCTCCAGTGCACTTCTCCTGGGCGTTGTTCCAAGCGAAGCAGATCTGTCGCCCATCAGGCGTGCTCCCTTGCAGGCCTCCCTGCTTGGTTTTCCCCTTTCCTTTCTTGCCCTTGCCCTTGCCCTTGTTCTTGCCCTTGACATAGTTTACGTCGTAGGGTTGCGGCCTATCCGAGCTCCTGTTCTTGCTCCTCCATGGGTCCTGCACGCTCTGAGTGGCCGAGGAGACCGCCAGCGGCGTGCTGAAGTGCCTCTCACGAACATCTGGGTTCTTGGTCACCGCCTTCAACGCCGACACGAAGTCCATGCCCTTGTTAATCTCATCGACCGCCTCCTTCCGCATCTGGTACTCATAGTTGATGATTAACTTCAGTGAGGGCCTGTGCAGTGTGACCCCATCCACTGTCTGGGACTCCAACTGTGCCACATCCTTCGAGCAGATGTAGTTCAGGTACTCCATGGCCACGAACGGGTTGATGTCCTTCAGGATCTCCTTGCTGGGGTACCTGATCTTGCTCCTGAACTCCTCCATGTTGGAGGGCGACGATGTCTCAACCTTTGCCTTCTTGATCTTCAGAACGCCCGTCTTGCCCACGTGGATGTTCCCCGTCTCGGCTTCATCATCTTCATTGCGTGAGCCAAAGTGCCTGAGTGCCATAGGTCGCAGCTCTCCTGAATCAATCTGTTCGCACAGATCTTCAAAGCTTGGCTTACCGGGGCACTCCGCGTCCTTCAAACGAAAGAACCTTTTCTCAAACTCAACCCGGAACAGCTGCATCTCTACATTAGGGATGGCCTTCGGGACCTTGGTGGCCACCGCTTCCGCCTCCAGCTCGTTCCTGGCTTCCGTCCTCTTTGTGGCGGACTGCCACGCCAAAAACAATGACGCGAAAATGATCGCGTCTGCCGGCCTGGCTGTCACATCGATTCCCAGGCTGCTCCGAGCCAGTGTCTCCAACGATGTGCGGTCTATGGCCACCGCAGACAACATAGCCAAGTTGTCGATCCCCAGGTCATGAAGACCGGCCTGTGTGGCCTCTGGCACCCTCCGGGAGTCCAGTAACCCCTGCAAGTCAGGGGCCAATGGCGCGATCTTCTCGCGGTCCGTCAGCCCCGCCATGGCTTGGGCCTTGCGCCCGTCCCACGAGTACCCCCCCCCTCCGAGGGGGGATACCCGAGCCCTCCAGGCTGGAACCAAAATGTAACCGAAAAACCGACCTCCGACCAACCCACCAAACACGAACGACGTCGAGAGAACCCAACCTGGTGGCATCCAGCCCCGCCCAAACACCCAGCGTGTTTTCACAAGTCCAGTCCACAGTTCGAGACTTCCTTTCAGTCTCAGGCTGCTCCGGCCGAGCGCTCCGGCTCTCCTTCCTCCTCTGATGAGGACGATGCCAACTCGCTCAACACCTCAGCGTCCGCACCGGCCTGGATCACATCCGCCATCTTCTCCCTAGCCGAGAAGCAGGTAGAGCATGCTTTCTCTCCTTGCTTGGGATCCAGCTCTGGGCGGTCAGCCCCAATGACCACGTACTCCCTGTAGTGAACTCCGGGAATACGGTAGCAGCCTCCCATCACATGCAAAGTGCGTGTCCGGGACCTCCCAACGATCGACAGCACATACGTCCCCAGCGGAAACTGATCTCCGCTGTCTGCCACGTCGGTGTTCCCGTCCTCCTCCTCCGAGAAGACCTCTGTCGGCGACCAATGCTCTGGTGTCTCACAAACGGCCTGGCCATGGTCTTCATCCACATTCTCCGAATCCGATGCCGTCACCTTCACAACCTCCTCCTCTTCTGCCAACGGCAACCTCACTGGGGTGAAGGTCATTCCCCATTGAGGGGGCGCAATGGCCTGGGCCTCTCGATTTGCCTGGCTCGGCGACTTCAAGTGCACGTCTTGAAGCCATAGTGTGAAGTTCTTGATCGTGGCCAGGTCGTCAACCAAGTCAAACACTCCATAGGTCGACCTGACCTTCTCCGCCACCTTCTTCTGGGCTTCGAACGTCAACTTCCTGGTGGTCGTGACATAGCCCTCATCAACACTGGGTCGCCACCTGCCCCATCTTCTGCGGACCTCCTTGTCCACCTCGCATACTGCCGCCCAGCTCATGATCGTCACCCGCTCCGAGTGCTCCGAGAAGTAGGCCGTGGACTCCGGCTGCAACAGAGGGACCGCCCTGTCTGCGCCATCCTTCAACCTGGACGGAAGCTCCGATAGCAATGCCCTCGAGTAGGTCATGGCGTCCTGGTACTTGAGCATGGACTTACGAAAGCCCTGCAACCGGTTGTCCGGTCGAGCCATCAAGTAGTCCCTCATGCCGGTGCCGATCTCCTTGCCCATGCCCATGAAGATCTCCAAGCCCACCCGCAACCAGTCCTTACAAACCAAATATGCCGAGGAGCTGACGAACACCTGGACCACTTCTACACGGCGTCCTGCCCCCCGTTGTCTTCGATCGGGTGATGTCAGCCTCAAAACCCAGGTCGGCGTCGAAGGAGATGCTTGCGGGCGGGATGCCCTCCGCGTCGTGACAGCGCAATGCTGCCCACAGTTTAATGAGCTTAAACCATGAAAAGACTCTCTTGTAGGGGGCGATCGTGCGATCCATGACCCCCATCTCAAGAGCCCGGATTGCCTCCACTGGCAGCCGAGCAGCCTTAACTGTGGGCTTCGCCTTCCAATGGTCCCCCCCGCTCGACCTCAAGCAAGAAGTGGTGGAGGGATGCACTGCCTGTCACCTTGCGGTCCTCCGGAAGCTCGGCAGACATTTCGAGAAAGGCGACGGCCTTGAAATAGGACCCTGGGATGGTGCGGCCGCAAGGTTCTTCCATCCGAAGGGCTATATACGCTATGAGATCGCCCTCATGGCGCAGCCAAGGGGCAGAGTACACATTCTGCATGTACACCATCAGATGCCGTCCGTGAAGGACATGTTGGCGTATCGTGGACGCCCGCCTCCCCATGGCGAAGCGGTTGGCATAGTACTTCAACCCTTCCGGACCTCTCTTGCCCTTCTCGATGAGTTGCGCCTGTTCCAGGAAGTCCACCAAGTGTGCGATCCACCTGTCACGTTCTCTCTCCTCGACCTCCTTGCGTTGCTCTTCAGTGTCGCAACCCTGAAGAAGCCGGTCACCACGTGTCCTCCAGCTCACCCGGGGCAAAGTCTTCCGTGCCAAGACCAGGGAGGTGCCGATCCTTGCCTCTCCAAAAGAGGTCTCGTCGATCTTCTTGTTGATCAGCGCCTGGTCTTTGTACAACAGTCGTTGGTGCTGGAGAAACAGGTGGTCTTCAAGGTCGAGCTTCAACCTCTGTCGCTTAGCTTCCTTCTGCAGCCAAGCGAACTCCTGTTCTGTCCAAGCTTCCGCCACCAAGGGAAGCAAACCCCTGACCTCCCCCGCCGGCATGTCGTGGAAGAAGGCCAGCGAGGATCTGCTCCAGCCCAGGTCCATCAGTTGACCCAGGCAACCCGGCTCCATGGCACGAGGAGGCCTGGCCCAAAGCCCTCTTTGAGCCGCACACTCCGATCGCGTGACACATTACGCCGGACGCTCGCTACGGCTGCATATATATATATATATATATTTATGGGGCCCGGGTCAAAACCTGGAGCCCCAACACCACATAGCTTGACCATCCAACTAGGCCAACCAAGGTATGGTTTTGGCGAATATGTCTGCTTGTCACCGGTTTTGGCGTGTTTTGTCCACCTCGTAGGCGATGATTTTGTTGTCCATGGACTGCCCGATCAAGTACTTCTCGTCCGGGCTCTTCACGATCTGGCGGGCGCGGCGCTCGACGGACTCTCCACACCGACACAGAGTGTGGAAGCTGGACACCCCCAACACACAGATCGCTCAGTGTGGAAGCTGGAACGGAGCACGTCAAAGAGCACCCCAAAAAAAGCAAATGCTGGACTTGACTGTGTTCTTCTGCAAACCAATGGGTCCCTGTATGTGGGGTGCTTGCAAGCTTCAGCTGCCTTGCTTGTTGACACAATCTAACATCATGTACTAAGCATGAGCTTTTTGGAAGCCTAAACTTGCATAATGAATCCAAGGGAGGTTGAAGTACTACCACTACCATAGGCAGCGCAAGCCCGAGTTTGAAAGAATACACGTTCCATTGAATTGTCCTCAGGTGGGCGGGGTGGGTGCCCCATACCCTAGCCAAAAAATAAGTCTTGATGTACTTGCTGCGTGAACTGCATCTTCTGGAAAAAAATGTTCGCTGTTCTAAGTTGTTTCTGCTTTGTGCTCAACACAAATGAACAAACACACACCATCAGCAGTGACTTTGATTTCATGTCTTCCTCCTTTGTTTGTCATCAAAGTCTTTTTTTTGAGGAGTCAAGTAAATGCATCACGGCATTTGGCAAAAGAAACAGCATAAATTCAATTAACATGTGCTGTAATTGTATTCCCGCTGTTTCTTCAACTGGCGTTTGTTCTTTTGGGAGGAGCGGATTGTAGACGGGCCTTGCAACATTTAAGGCACAATGGATTGAAGTCGGCCATGTTTCCTTACCACTTCTTAAATTAGTGCCATTTGGACACGAGTTGTACAATTCATCGGTGATCAAGAGAGTGTCAAACCAATTAGAATCAAAACACGATTTAATCAATTATATAAAACCAGAGTTGATTGGAGACAGAACAGGTGGTGAGAACCCCCTGGGCAAAAAAACACAATATACTGTACATAACTTGGCTCAAACTCTACCCTTTGCAGTGTTTCCATAAAATGCCCAATCAATTCTTCTCTCTGATTTCTCATGGTTCAATTATGTTCAAAGAACTTGTTTGCCTATGTACATCCTCAAGAGCAGTTTTTCAGCCTGAACCCTCCGACCAAATCATTGCACCCGCTGCATCCGCTCTCATCATCACTCAAGAATCTCGCTGACTCGCCTGTGGGATGGAATGCATTGTGGGCTCGGCCTTGGATGCTCAAGTAGTTCCAAGCAGCACCCGTTGACCCAGATCTGCGGAACGATTTTCAACCCAGTTGAAGAACGATTCGGCAAAGCGGCAACAGCATCACGATCGTCTGACGCGTTCATCTCCCAGTTCTTTCTCTGCAGACCTCATACAGGTCTTTCAGACGGCTCATTCCAAACAGTTGGTCTTCTAAAGTTCATCTCACCATTCAAACATACGTGGACCCTCCTGTCGGGGTGTCCTGGCTGGACTACCCCACACTACCTATAAGCTTCCAGACAGGGCACCCCTTGGAGGGTCCTGGTAGACCTCATGTGTGAATGCATTGGAGATTGGACTCTCAAAAGTTGGAGGGCGGAAGGGTCAGCAATAAGTTGAGATTCTCCAGGGAAGTTAGACTTAGAATGATGTCTCGACCCAGATCAACTGGGTCTGTCCACTTGGCGAAACCTGCCTCTAGGGAAAAGATGTTTAAACACAAGAAACCAAGGCCATGGTGCTCCAATCGATCTACTGATCTACCGCGCAAGCTCCTTGTTTCAAACTTCCTCCGATCGACCGATCCCAATCGCTCCAAGAGGCGATGTGCTTGATGACGACTGGGATGCCAAACTCCCAAAGGAACATCCTGGGGGGTGGCCCGGCGCACCCGAGGATCACACATGATATCACATGGAATCCTGTGGAATCACACAACGCCGAGATAACCTCCAACTCAACAAAATCAGCAGGATTCGGAGCCGATGGGGCAGTGGACTGTCATGAGCGTTGGACCAGGGCAAACAAACCCCTCAACTTTGCAAACGGCACTGAGTCTGATGTCATGTGTCGAAGTCGTTCCTTGGTCAACCGCTTGAGATTTGGATGGTTGACCAATGGAATCCCTGGACACAAATTTCCATCAGGCCTTGGACACGATTGACTCTAGGCCAACAGTGACCCTACATGACTGTAAAAAGCAAGGAGACGAAGGAGATCAGAAAAATAGAATGGGTGGGACTTGAGCATAAGGAATTAACATAATATCCAAAACATCAGATCCCAATCAGTGTTTGACTAGTGTCTTCAAAAACATGCTCTGCCCAAAGACAAATCCAGAAGAGGATCCAACCTGAAACCTTGACATCATCTGATGGAAAGCATATCTTATGGACAGCCTCAAATTATTTGAAGTCAGGATCAGTATGGATCAGTAAGGTCTGAGCAGGCTGTAAGGTCTGAGTAGAAAAAAGAGTTGCTGTCAGAGATTTACCGCTTTTTCCAAGTTGCAAACGCACCGCAAAACACATCAAGGTTGACTGTCAAACAAAATAGCAACTGCTGTCCGGAACTCTCTTCGTTCGTTTCTCCGTTGCGGTAGATGTGTGTTCTTCAACACCGTTTGATATCATTTGGTTTTCTTTGTGTTTGCACGGACTCTGACTTTAGAAAGCTTTAGGTGTCTAACAAATGTTCTATAGCATGTTTAGCCCAACCCTGTGGAGCTTCTCTCATCCAGGAGCAGGCTCTTTCCGTTCGTATAGCTCCCCAGACTTGTCCCGAGGTCGCCCCGGCTGAAGCCCCCGGCTTCTTGTCGTCCGAGGAGGTCAACAAGCCTTGAGAGCTGAACGAATGGGACTGCTCCGGTCTTCGTTGTACTGAAAGCCGAGCAGAACAAAAAACAAAAAAGGGACGCAAGAAGTGCATAATGAAATGGTGCCACATTGTTGTGTGTTGCAACAACGACATATATTCATGTATGTTAATGATTATTAATGCATGTGGATATATTACATCAAACAATATTGATGGCTGTTGTATTTTCAATGTATAAAACACGTCAGCCGTCAGCACCTTTCAACAAGTGCAGCTAGGGAGGCTTTGTCTCAATGCCATCTAAGTGGATGTTTGACCCTTACTCTTCAAAACGGCTTCCAGCTCATGTTACTACCTCCAGCCTCGACTTACTCTCCGGGTGTGGACCTAGCGGAATCCGACTGGAGCAAACCGCATGGATGACCGACACACCCTGCGACTGATTGAAGCTTTTGGGCTCAGTCGATGCAGCGGAAGAAACACTGGGCTTGCTGAAATGTGCAAAGCCTGGGTCAAACTTGGGTATTTTGGCTCCTCAGTTTGCTCCCTCAAGTCCCTGAAGCACTTATCTGACCGTCTTGTGCTCCACGTCTGAGAGCAAGCTCGAACTCTTTCGAGTTTTGGTTGTTGCTGGCGCCTTCCAAGGGGTGCGTGCCCCTGCTCTTTCATCCAACAGAGTTACAAGCTAGGCCAATTATTTGAACACACATTCTGGAAGACAGCAACATCCAAGCTTCCCGTCCCAGTAGTTGAAGGAAATCGGGAATTCCCATTCGATCTAAGAGGATCCAAGTGTTTCGCTGTAGGATTGATTGTTCAATCCAAGTGCGAATCGAATCCTGGAATCCTATCCATGTTGTTCCTCTCTTCCCAGTGATAGCTTTGCAATTTCTTTACCGCAGTTCTCGAACTCTCTGCGCTTCCCGGCGCTTCCCATCTTCGCAAATGGTGACCGTGTTGACCGCACCCATGTGCTCATCGTACTCCTGCGCAACAGGTTTCCCACCGTGTTTTCCTCGTGGGATTGGGATCCACCCAACTCGAGGATTCGGAGAATCGGATTCTGATCCTCCGCGTTGCACAGATCTACCCAACAGAAGTTCTGAAGGTTTTCTTTCACATGTTTTTTTTGAGACCTCACATTGAGAGTTCTTGGAAAACAAGCAGGAATTCCAGGTTCTAAGGCTGAAGTTGCATTCCCTTCCTTTTTGCCCCACAGAAGAGTCAAACGTCAGAGACCCAACGGAATTGGCATGAATCCATGAATCCGCATGGTGATGGTGGGTGGTGGGTGGTAGTTTGGTGACGAGCTCTTCAGTCTGACCAAACGGAACAAACTTTTACTTGGGACCCTTTTGAGCCAAACCCTCATAATGGAAGACCACCATCAAACACACCCAAACCTGTGACCACACAACAACTGGACAACCACTGAATCGCTGTACAAAGTCTGACTGACAGGCGCACAATCACTCACAGTCACCCCCCGAGACCACTTCAAACAGAAAGACCTTACGACAAAAGGACAACCAACAAGAGGAGCAGTAGTAGTAACAGTAGTACCGGCACAGGTAGTACAGTTGCGATCGTGCTTGTGGTTGTGTTGTTGTTGTTGTTGTCGTCGTCTCTGTGGTATTGTTGTTTGCTGGTTGTACTAGACAAAAAGAAGTAGTAGCAGCAAGCAGTAGTTAGTACTACTAGTACTGGTAGTCGGAGTAGTAGTAGCAATAGTAGTAGTAGTAGTAGTAGTAGTAGTAGTAGGAGGAGGAGGAGGAGGAGTGGTAGTCGTAGTCGTACTATAGTAATAATAGCCGTCGTCGCAGTGGCAGTGGCAGTGGTAGTGGTATAGTAGTAGTGGTGGTGGTGTACGGTTGTTGTTGTTGAAATGTTGATGTTGAACTGCTGCTGCAGCTGCTGTTGGTGCTAATGTTGTGGGCAATGTGGTGATTGTACTATTGTTGTTGAACGGGTTGTTGCTGAACTCTTGTACAATCGTTATGGAACTCTTGTTGTTGCTGCCGCACGGAGAAATCTTGTGTTGGAGCCCTCCTGGACGATCTCACAGGTGTTGGAGTCCCACTGCACTGCCTGCGCTCTTTCAGGCTGAAAGAGCTCAAGAGTGAAGACGGTGGCCGGGTGGTAAACAGCCTACACTGTAGCCTCCCAACTCATGAGACTTACACTCCCTGAATCATCCATGGTTACGTGGATGGCATGGCCTTTCTCAAGGATGACCATGAAAATCCGAGGATCAAACAGGTGGTGAAGTCCAGTTGCATGGTTATTCCAGGGAGTGTAGATATCTTAAGCATTGGAGTTTGGACACATTCGCCCGCAGTGTATGCGCAAAAGTGATCGTCCTTGTCGTGGCTATGAACGGTCATCAAATGATGGGACTATGCTTGAGGCGCATTGGTGTTTATCTACTTACTTCAATCCACTTTAGAGTTCTTTTTTTAAAATATATAAATCTACACTAGCACAACTTAACTATTGGACTTGACCAGTTGAAGGACTCAACAGAACACACCAATCTCAATACTCATCCCGGGCCTTCTTGTTGGAACATCCGGTCACGATCACATTCTGCTGAGATGGATCCGGATGCACCGACACCTGAAGGTCTGGACCAGAAGTGTGCGACCAAGCAACGGAAAACGGAAAAAGGCCAGAAAGGCCTGGATGTGCAAGGCGGCTTGATAAGCAGCTTACTTTGGCGTCCGAGAAAACGGAGTGTATCTCTTGCGTGCGGCTTTTGCGTGGCGAATCGTGTTAGACGTTTGGAGTGCGCAAGCGCCAGAAAGGACGACCTGGAGGGGAGGAGGATGTCGGATGCTGTCAATGGAATTTACTGTATCATGATTCATCCTCATCATCAGCAGCAGCATCAGCAGCCTAGACACCAACCTGGCAACCACGTCAGCCTTCTAACCAAATACTGGAGTACCTAAGTGCCTTTGGTGGAATGACATTCCTATACCGCTGCAAGTGAACAAAGGGGCTCGGCTGCACAAAGGCTCCACACTTGAAGCCCCCGAGGTTCTGCCAAGGTTCCAGGTTCCAGATTCCAGGCTTTGTGAAATATGTGTATATATATATATATCATATTTATATATTATGCATCTTAAATGGAAAAAGAGCAGGAATAATGGGACATGATCCATCCAACCTCTGTCCATATGAGCCCTGAAATGATGAATTGACAGAATATCATTGGGAGCGGGAGTAGAGTCTTCTACTGTCCTTTGTGTAGACATAGAGCATTACCCATGTTTCCTGGCCTAAAACCAAATTACAGCTGAATGACAGGATCACACGAATCTGGTTCAATCTTCCCTGTCTCAGTCCCATCGGTATCTCTGGCCAACTCACACGGAGGCTGGTAGCTGAGATGCCACACACAGAAGGGAGTCTTCTTGTTGGTGAAGGTGGCAATGATCTTTCCAGTCTCGGTATCCCAGTACCTCTGGCTTTACCAGCAGGAGGACCGCCCAACACATTGGCAACCCAAATGCTGGATGATGAAAACCCATGCGTTGGAAGTTCTCGAGCCCAAAATCATGACACATATCCACCACTCATATGTCCAGCGGCGTGCGATGTTGGATTCCAAACTACTGGCTCTTGGAGCAAACAGACCAGTTATGGACTCGCTGTGAATTTGAAAAAAAAAACGGTCTCCAAATGTTGATGGTGGGAAACATACCATTTCCAAAATCTGCCTCTGACAACAAAGCAACCTACAGTTCCAGGATCCTTGCTATGGAGAGGTCAGAAGGCGTGTTAGGACATAAAGATATACACGTGGACCTCAAAAGACGCAATACACGTTACATGTCTCAAGCCTTTCTACAAGCCTTTCAGAAACTGCTGAAGAATCTACCCAAAACCCCCACGAACAGCAAATCTAGAGCAACGCACGATCTTGAACGCCTTCTCCTGGGGGTCAACAAGGGTCGCACGGGTGCCATTCTTGTCTTTTCAGGGATGTCAACTGTCATTGGTTTTCCATGGAATGTGTGTGTGTATTCTCTTGTGTCCCGACAAGATTGATGGGAGACCCACAGCCCAGCCCGATCTTGGCTTCGTGCTGGATGTTCTTGTCATAGGACACGCTGTAGAACCGCCGTCCATCCTGAGCGAACCAGGTGCTGCACAAATCCGGTGGTGTTGTATGGCATTGCTTGAACTACCTCGAGCTGACCATCAACACAACAAAGACACGTAAAGGTAGCCGTGTTCATTTGTTCATTCTTTTTTCAATGTGTACTTTGAGACTACTCGGACTCCAAATATGAATTTCTTAGCTAGGAGAGACAGCATGCCATCCTTCAAAATATTGACCCCAAGCATTTCACCAAAAACATATCAGGATTTCGTTGGGGAGTGGCATAGGGCGACTCACACAATTCCTAGGTTTGTATGTTTGTGTGTGTGTTACTTAACAGTGGCTCATTGTAAGATTGCAAGATTTGTGCTGGTAGACCATCAATGCACCAATGAACTGTCTAGTCATGCATATGGTATCATATTACTTATCATATGGTATATGCACAATTAGCAATATAGGTACCTGATTTTCTTCCAGATGTAAGCATGCACCTGAAAACTGCTGCGAATCAGGTTCAGGTCCAGGTCAGTGAGAGAGCACACTGTCATGGTTCTGGGGAACCTTTGGAAACCTGGATGATGGTCCCCACAAGCGAAACAGAACGAGGATACCTGCAACTGCATGTTCATCTTTGCCAAAACACACACTGGGTCACTGGGTGGTGAACATTAAAGAACATTTACAGGCAAGCCGCAAGCGGCAAGTCTGACAAGTTTGGTGAACTCAGATTGATTTGAAGTAGGGGTCAAACCAACAAGGAGACTCACCTGCACCGTACCTTCCTACATCTTCCCACCGTACCTTCCCGTACCGTGTTTCGTCCGAGAGGCCGCGGTGAAGGCGATGTCACGCACGGCCTGGTCGTGGCCCAAGTAGGTCCGCAAGCACCTCGCCGTCTCGAGCGGGATCCGAGTCGTGTGGGACGTCCGCGGCACCGTGGCACCGTGGGACCGTAGGACCGACAGCGCTTTGGAGTGAGGGAGCTGGGATGCGTTGGTGTCTTGCTTGGACGAATTAAGCACCTGTCTTGGGTTTTGCATCGCAATCGGCAAAACTGGTTTGCTTGAATGGCCAGTGGATCCAACAGTTTGCTACAAAAGGAGTCATGGTTGGTTCTCTTTCAGCTCCACTGCCCTTTGTTCCGAAACTGATAAAACTCCTCATGTCCCAGGTCACCTGACCTGATACAGCAATGCAGCTCCTGTTGAAAAAAAGGGTCCAAACTGGTCCAATATTGTCAGCTAGTGAAGTCAGTGCTTCCCGCTTCTTTCTTCTCCATTCCCTTTCCGCAAAGGATTGTCTCAAAATGAAGGTGCTATCACTTGGAAGGCAAAGGGCGTGTCCCATCTGGTCTGGGCTTGCAGTTGAACTTTGCGTGAAGCTTGTGATAGTTGCCCTGTCTAAAAGTCTTAAACAATCCTAAAACTGCATTGGCAGCCAGAAATATGCTGGTGGATATGCGTAAATGAAACTTATGACTTATGATCCTTCTCTCTGGCACAGTGACTCAACCCTGACCGACATACTCATGGGATAAGGTGTTTCAAGAACAGGAACACACATGCGCGGCCCTCCGCCGTGGCACTTCCTCTGGTTGTGGTAGTCCCAAATCATGATCTTGCCATCCATGCCAGCGGAGAGCAACAAGTGAGCAGTCTTCGGAAACCTCGCGAGCCGGGCGCCGGTGCGCGTTTCGATCGGACTCTCGGTACCCTCGGACTCGACAGGTGTCATCGGTGACGGTCTGTGGGCCAGTTTATCGGACCATTAAAAGACCAAAAACCATGTGAAACTGATCTGGAATGATCTGGTGCTACCACAAGTTACCGAATGGTTTTTTTTCGTTGGCACAGATCGCTCAGAGAGCAGCCGATCGTCGTCTCGCGTTAGTTTCAAGAGTTCAACCATCGTTCTCCTCGTCTCAGGGTCGAACGTCTCATCTGCGTCTCGCTGAAGGCCACAAAACATGGCCGGGATACACATCACCCCCCCACCAAGTACTTTGCCACAATCAGCAAACAAATTATATATATAATGTATATATATATATCAAATAACAGTACCATATACCAGCATTGGATGCACGTTGTCATGCTCCCAAAGAACTTGAGACATTCCGACATTCCTGTCAGTGTCCATGCCCACTTAACCTCAAACAACCTCAAGTTCGAGCACCTCATTCCCTGCCCAGAAGAGACAGCAGCTGCTACATGCCTCTTTGCTTCCTGTCCAAGTCCAAGTCACCAGCGGATTTTCTGAACTCCCATGGTGTGGCCAGTCCTGGGCAATGATTGACTTCGCCAAAATTCGGACTGCTACTTCAGGGGGGTGGCAACAACGGTTTACTAATTTACCTACGTCCTGCCCTCGTGGGTGGTTGGATCCATGGAATTCGCAACACATGAGTAGGAGTTTGGAGTAGGCAAGAAACACCAATGTCCGGTCGATTTGCCTGCAAAATCCAGCTCCATGGATTGATTGCTCAGTGCTCATCAAAATAGACTGCAAGGGGTTGGTCGACTGTGTCAAGCGTCAAGGGGACTATGACTAAATAGCACTAATCCATATGAAGAAACATGAAGATCAAATCAACTATGGTTAACCAGCAAATTCAGGTATGAAGAGGACGAGATCCTCGAGACCTCAAGATGTTCCTGTGGATCAAATACCCGCTTCAGAATCTTCAGAATTCACTTTTCCAGAGCTCACCAAAATGTTTCTTTGATAAAGCACGTACGTTTGATCAGTCTAGGCTCCTGAACAATGCAAACTATTGAAACAACAACAACAACAACAACAACAACAACAACAACAACAACAACTACTACTACTACTACTACTACTACTCCTGCTGCTGCTGCTGCTGCTGCTGCTGCTGCTGCTATTACTGCCATCACTATTACTACTACGACTACCACTACTCCTACTCCTACTAATTACTACTACTACTACTACTACTCCTGCTGCTGCTGCTGCTGCTGCTGCTGCTATTACTGCCATCACTATTACTACTACGACTACCACTACTCCTACTCCTACTAATTACTACTACTAATTACTACTACTACTACTACTACTACTACTACTACTACTACTACTACTA